CAAAGACTTTTAACAGATTAAAAGATTGTTTTAACAGATTAATTACAATAGTTGGAAAACTTCTCTATATAAACATATTTGATTCAACGTTTTAAAATACACTTTTGAGCAATCAATCAAACAATCATAAGAGTTATTTTCAAGAAAGAATCTCTCAAGTTTGTGGAGTTTTTCAGAGTTCTTTCTTGAGGTAATTTTTGCATTCTTTTGGTGAAGAAACTCATTCTATAGAAGTTGCATAATTCGGGTTTGATTGTCCTAGTTTCTTCTCTTCATTTCTTTACATTTCTTTACTGTATTGTGGGTGTCTGGAATTGTTGGACACTGATTCTGTAGCTGGAATTTGGCTGCAGGTTGGTCAAGAACTGGAATTTGGTTCTTGGTGAAGGTTTAGGTGCAAGATCTGGAATTTGGGTCTTATGGTAGATTGGGTGTGTGATTGGTATCTGTAATCTGTAAGACATTCAATCTAGTGGAACTCAGCTAAAATTTGGCTGAGAACTGGACGTAGCCCTGAGATTGGGTGAACCAATATAAATTTTGGTTGTATTTCTCTAAACCTTACTCTCTTTAATTCTATTGTTGTCTTACTTTGAATCGCTTGATTTTCTTGGTTCAAAAATTGGTCAAAACTCTTAATCTTTGAAATAGATAATCTGTAAATTGCGAAAATCTTTCAAATATCAATTCACCCCCTCTCTTGATCTCAGCCTCTTTTTCTAACAGAGCTTTTACTCTTTTTCCAAAGATCTTTGTGAGTATAATGCAAATATACTCATTCGTTCTATCAAAAACTTTTTATGTTCTCACACTTTTCGTTCAATGTGATACAATTTGTCAACAATGCGTAATAGGCTTCCCGTTAGTTCTAGTGTTCCATAAACTTTTTCCTTTAAAGATGTTGAACCATAATTTCTACAATTTTCTACGCAAATTGGATTGAAAAATATCAAACAAGAAGTAGTAAATTTTACACGTCTTATTAGCTTATGGCTTAATGTGTTAATGATTCACTTGTGAGTGACTATCAATTAATTAAGAGATCTTTATTGTGAGTAAATTAAAATTACAATAAATCTATGAAAAACTACAAGAAAGAACACTAGATCAAGTAAAACCTCGAGACTAAACAATTAATGTTGATGTTCAAAAGTCCAAGGGCCATTACAAACAAGTTATTGATTTGAAGAAAAGTGATTATATTAAGAACGATGTCATAATCAATGAATGAGTCATTCACAAGGAGGATGAAAGATCTAGTTTTACCTCGAAGCATGTATAACAACAATTGAAAATTAACCTAATGGTAAATAAATAAAAAAATCCAATTCAAAAAGACCAAAGACTTATACTAATAGAGAATATTTATTATTATATATTCGAGAAAGACACTAATTGAGATTTTAGAAAATGACATATCATTACAAATTAATTATCCAAAGACTGTAAAAAGAAAGATGATGTTAGACAAATGACATCTAGAAGGGGGTGAATAAATGCACAAATTAAAATAGATGTCAAATTAAAAATTTATTTATTTAAAATGTCAAATAATTTTTTAATTCAATTTTAATTAATAGATAAAATACAGATATAGTGGAAGTGATATAATCAGAAAGATAAAGGGAAGAAAATAAGTAAATGTTATCACAGAGGTATAAGGAAGAGAAAAACATATTGTAATTTATACTAGTTCGGGTATAGTCAACCCTATATCTAGTTCTCAGTCAACTCTAATCACAAGAGTGACCCCAATTCACAATCTTTCAAATTTAGTTTACAAATTATAATCAACTCAGCAGAGGAACCAATAAAAAGGCAAACTAATTCAAAAGACAATCACCTTCTTAGAAACCCACTAAGGACAAACACCTCCCTAGAATCCCACTAGGGATGAACACCTCCTCTGAACAAATCAAAAGATGAAAAGCACATCCTTTGCAACCAACACATAAAGGATGAACACCTCCCTAGAATCCCACTAGGGATGAACACCTAAGGATGAAAAGCACCTCCTTTGCAACTAACACACAAAGGATGAACACCTCCCTAGAATCACACTAGGGATGAACACCTCCTCAAACAAATCAAAGGGATGAAAACACCTCCTTAGAATCCCACTAAGGATGAACACCTCCCCGAACAAATCAAAGGGATGAATAGAGAAACACACTTCACAAGAAACAATGCCCACAAGAAAATCCTTAGTTTGTAGGCAAAGAAAATAAGAGCAACAACCTAAAACCCTAAAAAGAGAATTTAACAACCACCTAAACCCACAAAGGATAAAAGTAATAAAATAAGAACAGTCACACCTAGGTAATGGAGACAACAAATTGTAAAAGCCTGTAGAATGATAACTCCAAGAACATAGTGTGATTGATAGTGAAAGCATAAAAGACAGTATGAAAAAGTTTTCTCAGAAAACCTAAAAGTGCTCTATTGCCTTACTCAAAATTCTTTTCTCAAAACTGATTGAATGTAAATTTTAATTTTCGAATTATGTAATTGTGTCTTTTGATTTTTCATCAAAAGTCATTTAAATAGGAAAATAACATCAGAAAATAGTTGTTGATCATTCATAATTTCGTAGAGAAAAATCAGGATGTATCCAAAAACATTTATTCTTCAAAAATGGATATATTTTCAAATTTAAACTGCCATAATCGATTATGTTACCAGTATAATCGATTATGACAAAGAGAAAATTGTTTTTCCATTTCTGATGCATCATAATTGATTATGACAGTGAAAAATGTCATGTTACAAAATTTTATCACATTTGTACCTCCATATCCAGTATTCTAAGACTCTATCTAGTCTTCAGGATATCTGAACAAATCAAAGGATGAAAAACACTTCCTTTGCAACCAACACACAAAGGATGAACACCTCCCTAGAATCTCACTAGGGATGAACACCTCCTCTGAATAAATCAAAGGATGAAAAACACCTCCTTTGCAACCAACACACAAAGGATGAACACCTACCTAGAATCACACTAGGGATGAACACCTCCCCGAACAAATCAAAGGGATGGAAACACCTCCTTAGAATCCCACTAAGGATGAACACCTCCCAAAACAAATAAAAGGGATGAATAGAGAAATACACTTCTCAAGAAACAGTGCCCACAAGAAAACCCTTAGTTTGTAGACAAATAAAATAAGAGCAACAATTTAAACCCTAAAAAAGGAATTTAATAACAACCACCTAAACCCACAAAGGATGAAGGTAATAAAATAAGAACAATCACATATGGGTAATGGAGACAACAAATTGTAGAAGTCTGTAAAATGATGATAACTCCAAGAACATAGTGTGATTGACAATAAAAGCGCACAAGGCAGTATGAAAATTTTTTCTCATAAAACCTAAAAGTGCTATGTTGTTTTGCTCATAATTATTTTCTCAAAACTGATTGAATGTAAATTTTAATTTTCGAATTCTGTAATAGTGTCTTTTGATTTTTCATCAAAACTCATTTAAATAAGAAAATAATATCAGAAAATAGTCGTTGGTCATTAATAATTTCGTAGAGAAAAATCAGAATGTATCCAAAAACATTTATTCTTCAAAAACGGATATATTTTTCAAATTTAAACTGCCATAATCGATTATGTTACCAGTATAATTGATTATGACAAAGAGAAAATTATTTTTCCATTTCTGATGCATCATAATTGATTATGATAGTAAAAAATGTCATGTTACGAAATTTTCACACTTGGGTTTTGGAGGCTTATGCATAATACTACTTCATCAACTTGTACCTTCATATCCAGTATTCGAAGACTTTATCTAGTCTTCAAGAATCATTTTGTCTTGCTTGAATCTTGAATAGAATCTTTATCAAATCATATCTTGTACTTACTTGAGTCTTAAATGTTGTTGACTTGAATCATCATCAAAATTATCTCTTAGAAATATAGGGACATGTTTCACATTGTCATCAATCTCTCCCTCATTGCTTTCGGATGATAAAAGAAAAAAATGTTACTTGATAAACATGAATGTTACAATGAATGAAAAATAAATGTTATTAACAAAAGAACTATGGAGATACATAAGTTGAAGACCATAAAGTAGTTATATGAAATTTTGATGAAAGAGACATCAAATATGTTTAAAAGTAAATATATGTAAAAAAAACATAAAGTCACTTGTAAATTATTATATTTTAAGTTAATTTTAATTAATTATGAATTTATATTTTTATTAACTTCAAAGTTAATTTATCTTAATTAATTAAAATATTAATTATTAATATTTGAGATAAATATATTTTTTGTTCTTGTATATTATTTTCAAACTTGTCTTTAATCTTTACACTTTCAACTTGATTAATTCAATGTTTTATGCTTTAAAAAATATATGTTATTTTAATTATTTTTATAATTAAATAATAATTTTCATCATCACAAAATTTATAAAATATTTTTTTTTCAAGTTTAAATATAAAAACTAAATTTTATGAATTGTTTAAAAATAAATTATATATATATATTAAAAATAATTTATAAATATCGTATTTTTTACTTTTATTATATAATAATTTTTAAAAATAAAATGATAACAATAAATTAGAGTTTTAAAGTCAAATTATGTAGTTATTGCAGATTTGAGATCCACGCTCTCTTGTTTCTACACAGGTCAATATATATAATAATCTTGATATTTATTATTTGAGTCTCTCTTGTTCCTACACACCTTAATAAATAAATATATATATATATATATATATATATATATATATATATATATATATATATATATATATATATATATATATATATATATATATATATATATATATATATATATATATAATCTTCGTATTTTTTTTATATTTCTATTTTTTTAACCGAAGAAAATTACTTCAGAAATGAAAGAATTCGTAAAGAAAGATAGAGGAAGATTTTCAGGATACACACGCACAAACGCATCATAAGGCTGAGAGAGGGTTGTGATTTCTTTAGCACAAAAACGAAAGGAAAATAATGGCGTGCGCGAGCATGCTTCGTTCCGCCACTCTCAAAGAGCCCATTCTACTCCGTCCTTTCAATTTCAATTTTCGTAATCACATAACCTCACGCACCAAATGTAACAACCTCACCACAATTAGGTCTCGCCGCTTTCATTATCCTAAACTACCTCTCTCTTCCTCTCTCAATCAAACACCGTCGTCTAACCACCCTGAAGATCCCACTCAGGACACTGTTTTGAAGTCCATTTCAGGTAACAACTCATAATGCACAAAATCGTTACATTTTATTAACGTTAACCGTTTTCTGTTACAGAGGTTTCCAAGGCCGAAGGAAGGGTTGGCCAAACGACAAACGTGGTTAATGGGAGCACTGTTGTGGATGAATCTAACAATGAGTGGTTGACTTTGGACCAGAAGGTTTTATTTAACTCTTTTTCGTAAGACATTGTTTGTTTCCGATTGGTAGTTACTTTCGAATAATTGATTAATTACGTTTGTATTGTGAAGGTGAACTCGTACCCAACTGTTCGAGGATTTACTGCAATTGGTACTGGAGGTGAGGATTTTGTGCAAGCCATGCTTGTTGCTGTGGAATCTGTAATCCAACAACCAATTCCTCAGGTATATGTGTCAAGTCGTTTCTGGAAATTTAACTGTTCTTATTGGAGAAGTTTCTCTAATTTATAATGTGATCCTAAATAACTACTATTTTTATTGCATGACATACTACAAGTCGGGGTTGTGTTTGTATATGTATAATATAAACTTACAAAAGCATTTCATTCTCGGTGTTAGTACTTTAGGGTTAAGTTTTTTACTAATTTTGGATCTATTTTCTGTGTGTGTGAATTGGCTTCCTCTTGAACTCTACCTGATGTATATTATGGGTAACAATGGTTTTTGATTGCTGAGCTGAGGTTGTGTAATAAATTAACTACACTTTAAGGATGTTGCTTGATTGAAGGAAGCATCGAAAGAAAGTAATGGAAACCTAAAGAAAGCTTAATGGAAAAAATAAAAAATAAAAAATCTAATTGTAGTGATTGTGAAGAAATTCTTGCATGATCATCTTAGTATCGCTTATTAACACTATTTATTGATATGTACACTAAAGAATCAAAGAATAAGATTATCTTTACCACCATCACAAGATAAATAATTGATCAATATGTTTACAAGTTACAACTAACTACTCTGTTCTGTGCAGCTTCAGACTTAAATACATTTGTTCCTGTGGTGGTTTGATGCTCTCGTGAATGTTGATAATCTAAGTAGTGGATCTGTTATAACAGTATATTATGAAGTTGTTACGTTCTTTGTTATAAAAGAAAGAGTAAAACCAATTCTACGTACATTGAATATACCTTGTGATATTATTCCCAAAGAAAACATAAACAGTACCGAGATCTACACATACAAAGGATGATGTTTCCTTTCCCACAGCGCAAAACCCTGCTCTCCCAAAACTAAAAACAACATACCCCTACAGCAAACTATTTAAAGACTTTCTCGGAAAGTCTCCCCCATCCACACACTACCCGCCTAACTACTTTTTATTAGTTAATTTCCTTCTATAATATACATTCCATTGTAGAAATGTCTTCCCATGTAGCTGCCTCGGGACCACCTTCCTGCCATTGTACCAACACTTTTTGTAGTGGTATTCCTTGGTGTTGTATAGTCCTTTTGTCTAAAATCTACTTGGGACAACAACCCGAAACGTGTCCTTGTAACTCCTTTGGAAGCTCTTGTTCAACATGATGGGTTCCTATAGCCAACTTCAATTGAGAGACATGAAAAACTAGATGGATTTGAGAATTTTCAGGAAGTTGTAGCTGAAAAGTCACCGGTCACACTTGCTTAAGGACCACAAAGGGACTGTAGTATCTTACAGGCAGTTTTGGATGTAAGCGTGTTGACATGGAAGTCTGTCTATGTGGATAGATTTTTAAATATACCCAATCTCCGATCTTGATTGGTGATGGTCTTTTGTTACGGTTTGCAAATTTGACCATAAGTTCCTAAGCTCTATTCAAGTGAAACTTGAGTTGTTTGAGAGCTTCATCTCTAGTCATTAAATCCTAAGCTACAGCCTCCACTGTCGTCTCACATGGTACAAACCTGGCCAAAGAAGGTGGCGATCTCCCATATACCACTTCAAAATGTGTAAATTTACCTGCCCTTTGAAAACTAGTGTTATACCAATATTAGGCCCAAGGGATGAAAGTTGTCCACGTTTTAGGCTTCTTAGAGCTAAACCAACGTAAATATGTTTCTAAGTTCTTCTTAAGACTTTCAAGGTGATAAACAGTACTCAGGGTAAGGGAGGCTTCTTGATCCCCGGTTCCACATACCCCTTACCGTATTTCCTCGTATCTTGGAGTCGTATGTTGTACCATTCAATTCTTTTTTAATGAAGTTGTCACTGCTAGAAGAAACTCTCGAATTTCCTACTCCTTTCAAAGCTTTTGCACATGACACTATTCCCATTCCTCCTTGATATCAAAAATTGGAATTGTTATGTCGGGATGACATTCGTCCGTCTGGTCTAGCGTCTTTCATATAATCTTCCACATCATGCTCAATTTCCATGGCTCTAATCAAATCTTTAGGATCATGTGGTCTAATTTGATTCCATATTTTACCCTGTAACCCTCTAAAGACTTTCTCGAAAAGTCTTCCTCATCCACACACTACCCGCCTAACTACTTTTTATTAGTGCATTTCCTTCTATAATATACATTTCATTTCCTCTCCTTATTCACGTGCCTATGAGAAGTTAATAAACAATTTTTGTTTCCACTGGAGCAATTTGTAATCTCTGAAACTAGTTTAGAGCTATTTAAGATAAACTAGCCATATAAATTTCAATTATTTTGTGTGTATCTTTTTTAATGTAGTTTTGGTTAACTTTTGTTTTATATCAGTTTATCATAATACGTAATTTTGAATTTATTTAAAATAAGAGATGATTCACCATTTGATGAATGAGTAGTCCCTACAGTTATATTTTACCCAGTTACCACCCTTTGACTTTCTTCAACAACCAAAGGGTGAATGAAAAAAGAAAACAAAGTTAAAACAAGTTGGACCCCAAAGGACCAATTTTGATTTTTTATTTTTTATTTTTTAAATTATTGTACCTCAATTTGATTTACTCAAGAATCAATTTAAAAGCTTACGTATTTTAGTAGTTACCAATTGCCTTATATTTAGTATTTGTCATAAACTTTGGAAATTTCGAAACGCCCTATGATCGAGATAGGCAGATTGAAATATTATTATGAATATAGAGATATTTAATGATGACAACAAAGGTGAGGACCATAACGAAGGATTTGATTAAAAGAAGGTTTCAAATTGCAAAAGGACTTGTTAAGTTTTAAGCGTTCTTTTAATTGCCAATCAGTTGTGAAAGGTTGATAAAATATCTTTTGGTTGGTGTGCTCAAATGGAAGGTATAAACTTTTTCCAGTGTTATAACTTGTACATATGCCTAATAGATGTGACTAAAACTAAAGCAATATGTTAAACTCCTAACTTGTCGAAACACTATACCATTGTGCTTTCTCACACCTAATCAGAGGGAGAGTGAGAGAGAGAAACTTCATTATCTTGAACACACCAGTAAGTTAGCTAAAAGTTGGAAGGTGTGCTTGTTATCGTATGGCTGGATGCACAATTGCAATTGTTCTGCAAGCTTTTTGGATTGTAATGGTTCTAATGATCTAATGTTACAAAAAATGTAAACAAAATTTTAGGTGGACTTAATTAGATTGCAGTTTTCAATGAAGATAACGAGGACAGAATGGCCATGGGATTTTGATGATTTTCCTTGCTTTTCACAGAAAACTTACTATGTGACATGGAACAAAGTTGGCTCTCTTCTTTTGAAGCTGGTAAAATCAATAAGTATGCCCTGGTTAACACTGAAGAATGTTTCCAATGAAATTGGTAGTCACTCTAATGAGATCTATGGACTTGTATAATGCTGGAAATTGACAAGTGTGAACTTGTTGCCAACCCGTTATTTGATCACAAGAAATATATGCTAAGCTTAAATTTTATTTCTCTTTCAATTATAATTGTTGCTCCGTGTATGTTGTGTGCATCATGATGTGAATGTGATACGTCAAGAGCTTGTATTCAGTGTATTGCAATTTGCATCTATACTTTTATCCAGTGGTCAAACCTCGTTTTTCTAATGGCATTTGACATCTTATCTGCTTGAATTTTGAACATCTTTATTACAGGGACATGTGAAGCAGAAGTTATCATCAGGGGGAAAATATGTATCTGTAAATATTGGGCCCATTCACGTTGTTTCCAGTGAACAGGTCTGTGTGTTTTCTTCTATCCCCACTTTTTATCACTCTAAAGTTAATTGTTCTACCATATTTCCACCAAAAGAACTTGAGGGAAAAGAAGGAAAGTGTGAGACATCTTCAATTTTGTTAACATTGATTAGAAGTTAGGTCTGAAAAATTAGATTAACTGAAATATGATATTTTTATTATATCAATACAAAGAAATGATATAAGATATATACAGGAGACCTAAGTTATTTTAGGAAATATAATAACTCTATTTTATGCTAGGATCCCTTGATTTATGGGATTGTTCCTAATTATTCAAATCATGACAGATTACAAAGGAAATATACAAATTTCCTGATTTATTTTTTTCTAAAATACTATTTGATTTTCCACACTCCACCTTAAGCTGGTGAATAGATGTTTTCCATTCCCAGCTTGGATACAATCTTCTCAAAATTATGGCAGCCCAGTCCCTTGGTAAGAATGTCTGCAATTTGGTCCTAAGAGGACACATATGGAGTGCATATCAAGCCACTATCAAGCTTTTCTTTGATGAAGTGTCTGTCTACTTCAATATGCTTTGTTCTATCATGCTCGCACCTGGGTTGTGGGCTATACCTGATTGCTGACTTATTATCACAATAGAGCTTCATAGGTTCTTCCCACTTTATCCTCAAGTCTTCTAAGATGATTTTAAGTCATAGCAACTCACATATACCTTGTGCCATGACTCGAATTCCGCTTCAGCGACTGGACCGAGCCACTACACCTCGCTTTTGCTTCTCCAAGTCACAAGATTTCCTCCAAGAAAGGTAAAATATCCTGTAGTTGACCTCCTATCCACAATTGACCCTGCATAATCGCATCGAGTATAGGCTTCAAGCTTCACATTACCATTCCTTTTGAATAGAATCCCTCTTCCTGGAGTTCCTTTAAGGTACTGTAAAATTCTGTGGGCAGCTTGTAAATGGGTCTCCTTTGAGCTATGCATAAATTGGCTAATTAAACTCACTGCATAGGTAATATCTGGCCTGGTATGCGACAAATATATAAGTCTGCCCACTAATCTTTGGTACATATCTTTTTCAACAGCAACATCTTCTACATTTCCAAGCTTTAGGTTTGGTTCTAATGGGGTACTAGCAGGTTTGCAAGCTGCCTTGCTAGTTTCCTTGAGCAAATTAGTGATGTATTTCTGCTGAGATATAAATATCCCTTTCTTGGAGTGGGCAACTTCAATTTCCAAAAAATATTTTAGTTTTCCCAAGGTCTTGATCTCAAATTCTGTGCTTAAGCATTGGCTCAATAATTGTTGCTCTTCTTTATTATCTCCAGTTAATATTATGTCATCCACATACACCAATAATATTGTTACTCCCCCTGACTTGGAATGTTTGAAAAACAAAGTATGGTCCCCTTGGCTTTGTTTGTAACCCAGACTTGTTATAACTTTAGTAAACCTGCCAAACCATGCACGGGGGGACTGTTTTAACCCATATAATGCCTTTTTCAACTTGCAAATAGTGTTGGTAACAACATCTTTACCATATCCCGGAGGTATCTCCATATAAATTTCTTCTTCAAGGTCTCCATGTAGGAAAACATTCTTAACATCAAATTGTTCCAAGTTCCAACCATAATTGGCAGCAAGGGACAATATCAACCTAACTGTGTTCATTTTGGCAACCGAAGCAAAGGTCTCCAAATAATCAACTCCATAGGTTTGGGTGAACCCTTTGGCAACTAGTCTTGTCTTATATCTCTCAATTGATCCATCAACCTTGTATTTCACTGTATAGACCCATTTACATCCAACTGGTGCTATTGGTAAGGTGACTAACTCCCAGGTGTTGTTCTTCTCCAATGCCTCCATCTCTACATCCATGACTTGCCTCCATTTTCTGTCAGACAATGCCTCAGATAGGGTATTAGGTAGAAGTGCAGTGTTTAGGTTTACTAGGAAGGTTTTATGGGTAGGAGAGAAATTTTTAAAGGACAGGTAATTTGAGAGAAGGTAGAGTGGCTGTTTGGTGCATTTTCTTGTTCCTTTTCTAATGGCAATTGGGAGGTCAGGATTATTTTGGGTTTCAATTTCAACCTACACAACTGGAGAAAAAATTGTTACCTCTTTTTGTGAACTCGAGTTGGATTCTTGAACATGGCTTGATCCTGGAATGACCTTAGTCTTCCTTGAGTATACCAGCTTCTTACCAAATTTTTCAGCTTCAATATCTTCTTGATTAGCTTCACAATTAATTTCACTTTCTTGACCAACTTTCTTTTCTTGACCAATTCCTTAACTTATTTCATTTGTTACAACTTCAATTTGATCTTCAATTTGATCTCGTTTAGGTTCAAATATTAAGTCTGGAAGAATGGGGAAACCAGAATTACTATATTCAATATGATTTCGTTTAGGTTCAAATGTCAAGTCTGGAAGAATGGAAAAACCAGAATTACTACTTTCCTTATCTTCCCTAAAACTCTCCCCCTGAAGATAAGGTTGATGGAAATAACCCTCTTGTTCATTGAAGGTAACATCCCTAGACACAAAGAATTTTTTGGATGGGGGGTGGTAGCATTTATACCCTTTTTGAGTGGGTGAGTAACCAACAAAGACACACTTTAAGGCTCTAAGATCAAGTTTCCTCCTGTCTGTACTATGAATATGGACATATGAGATGCACCCAAAAACTCTTGGTTTAAGATTATTTGTAGTAGACAAGTTTGGATAGAAAGACGACAAAACTTCCATAGGGCTTTTTGATCCTAAGACTCTAGAGGGTAGTCTATTGATAAGGTATGTTGCTGTAAGGACAGCTTCCCCCCAAAAATTTTTTGGGACTTTTTTGGAACAACAATGTCCGAGTTTGATTTAATAGATGTCCATTTTTCCTCTCTGCGACCCCATTTTGTTGTGGTGTTTTGACACAAGAGGACTCATGAATTATACCTTCTTTTTGACAAAAAGAATTAAGGACATGATTGAAGTAATCTTTGGCATTATCTGACGTAAGCCTCTTAATATTAACACTAAACTGATTTTTTATCATGGAGTGGAAGTTTAGGAAGACAGAACTGACTTCTGATTTTTGTTTAAGTAGGAAAACCCAAGTGACCCTTGTACAATCATCTATAAAGGTGACAAACCATCGAGTACCAGACACATTTGGAATATTATAAGGTCCTCATATATCAGTATGAACAAGATAAAAAGGGAAATTGCTAATTCTATTACTTATTGGAAAAGATATACGCTTGTGCTTAGCAAGTTCACATACCTCACAATGAAGACTCTCAACATCTAACTTGGTAAACAGAGAGGGAAACATAATTTTGGTCACTCCAAAAGAGGGAAACATCTCAACTTTACATGACAAATCCTTTATAAGTTTTTGTATAGACACTAGGTTCGTGGACAACTTTGGGACATGGAGAACATCTTTTAAGGTTATTAAATGATTGATTTGGATATTTCCTTGACCAGTTGCAGTTATAAGGGTTCCATCTGCTGTGGCAATTTTCTTGTTGCTGGGACATGGGGAATATGTGGAGAAGTGTTTGGCTAATGGTGTCATGTGATCTGTGGCTTCAGAGTCCAATATCCAATAATGGTTAAAAGACGTATTTGAGACATTTAATCCAAAAGAAGGTGGAAACTTACCTGAGTATGCCAAAGAACACATACCTGTAGATCTTTTTAGCTTACTAAGAACGGTTTTCACCCTTTCTATCTCCTCTTCCCTTGACATTATAGCAAAAAGGTGCAATGCAACAACAATGCAGGCTGTCGTCTTAGGATTAAGAAAAATGCAGCAGCAATGCAGGCTGCCGTCTTAGGGTTAAGAAAAAATGCAACAGCAATGCAGGTTGTCGTCTTAGGATTAAGAAAAATGCAGCAGCAATGCATGTTGCCGTCTTAGGGTTAAAAAAAATGCAGCAGCAATACAGGCTGTCGTCTTAGGGTTAAGAAATATACAGTAACAATGCATGCTGCCGTCTTAGGGTTTATCGCGCGCAGCGGAAGCTCTGATACCATCTGAAAAATTAGATTAACTGAAATATGATATTTTTATTATATCAATACAAAGAGATGATATAAGATATATACAGGAAACTTAAGCTATTTTAGGAAATATAATAACTCTATTTTATGTTAGGATCCCTTGATTTATGAGATTGTTCCTAATTATTCAAATCAGTATAGATTACAAGGAAATATACAAATTTTCTGATTTATTTTTTCCTAAAATACTATTTGTTAATTGTTCTACCTTATTTCCACCAAAAGAACTTGAGGAAAAAGAAGGAAAGTGTGAGACATCTTCAATTTTGTTAACATTGATTAGAAGTTAGGTATGGAAAATAAGTAAGTAATGAATCAGATATGGAAAATAGATAAGATAATCAAATGAAGACACTATATATATACTGGTTCATCCCAATTAAGGACTACGTCCGATCTCCTTTAAAATCACTTAAAGGGTTTCACTATAATCAACAAGATTACTCCAAGTACATCAAGTCACTCTTGACTACTAATGAGTATATCAAGTCACTCTTGACTATCAACCTTAATTTCCTCGTAAGACTAAGTCACTCTTGGCTATCAACCTTAATCTCCTAAGACTAAGAGCACGAGTATTATTTTCTGTTACTCCTAGTTGCAAGGA